CAAGCGCGCCTCTGAGCGCACGCAGAGCGCCGCCGCCTCCCCAGGCGGAGCCCCCCCTTCTGCTTCCCAGCTGCCTTCCTTTTGCTCTCCAGCGCTTGTGCAAACCTAGCAGAGCGGGTGGCCCTGGAAGCACCTCGTCTTCTCTCTCCTTAGTTATTTATTGATTCATTTATTTATTTCTCCTTTGCTTTCTGTTCTCCCCCCCACGCCACACTCCCAAAGGCTCCTTGGATGGATGGGCCTTGGTTTCCTCCCCCCCACCGCCCCAAGTGTTTTTGGCCCGGGTTCGCCCTGCGGCTCACGGCAGTGCCGAATGGCAACAAGATGTACAGCCAAAAATTATTTGTAAAAAAGGGCTGCACACCCAGGTTCGCCCTGCGGCTCACGGCGGTGCCGAACGGCAACAAGATGTACAGCCAAAAATTGTTTGTAAAAAAGGGCTGCACACCCAGACCCTTCTAGAAAAAGCTGGTGGATGGCTCGATTTTGTTTTTGAGTCATCTGCGGAAACCGGCTTGTTTCTGGAAAACTGCAGAAGCCACCATAGTGAAATCATCCTCTTCGTCACCCACCCACCGCGGCTGAGTAACAGCCGCCCAGAACCTGGAAAGTTTAATTTTAGGGACTACACGGCCCAGAATCCACCATCTTACGCATACATGCTTCCTCCCTCCCTTCCTCTTTTTCTTTTCCTCCCTCTTCCCCCTTTTCACACGAACTTTCCTGGTAATTTTCTAGCCAAGTCTCCTTGTGCATCATATTTTTGACAGAGGGGCTTTTCGGCACCAGGAGTAAAGCAGAAGGAAGAACATAAATGGTCAGCTACGTTGCCTTCCTAATTAAAACAATATCGGAGGATCTACCATGACGAGATAGTCCTTTCAAAGCTGAAAACTCCCACTTTCAAAAATATATATATAAAGTTTCGGGAGGGGAAAAAACTATGGAGAATCAATATGCCCACCTGCAGACCTGCCAAAGAGAAATTTAGGGCCATGGCGGTGGCAGTTTCCACATCTCCAAATATTTTATTCTTCCTGAAAGGATCACGAGGCTCAATCAACGGCAACGCATTTTAATTGCCGACGTTTGATGAACCAGCCCTGCCACAACAACCCTGCGAAGGAGGGCCAGGCTACTTTGACGCCTCGGCAAGAGGCTTGTCCATGCCACAAGCCGCTTCCTCGCCAGCTGGCCCAGCCGTGAGCCCCCTTGACCAACCAGGTGTCCTTAGGAAAGGGCATCCCGGGATCTCGTGGCTGCTTGGTTCCCCCCAGCAGCTCGGGTTGCTCTTAGGCCCATTCCTCAGGAGAGGAAACTGAGGCCGAACGAGAGAAGACAACGGGTTCATCCACCCAGATCTTTCTCCTCCTCGTTGGTTTTGCCCGGCCATGGTACATCGCAGGCCGTACGGCGCCGTCCTCAAACCCGTGATCTCCACCCAAGTTCAAAAGGGCCATCAGCAGCATGTGAGGCATCCCTGTTCTGGTGGCTTCCTGTCCACTCTGCAGAAAGCGTTTGCCTTTCTTGGCCCGGCTGCACCTTGTCTGTCACTTTGCTGGCTGGCTCTTTTGTAATTCAATTCCGGGATGCCTTGTCTAAACCGGGTTGGTGCCAGCCTGGTGATCCGATGTAGCGGGACGGTGTTGGCACACTCCTGCATATCACGGGGCGACTGGCCCCGAGTCTATCGGCAAAACTGCCTGCGCACCCGAAGGTTTTCTGGCCGGTTGCTGGACAAGTGGGCAGGTATCCAGGCGGCGATTTGGGAGGCTTTCGGGGTGAAAGAAGAAGTCTCAGGGTCACTCCCCAAGAAAGGACTGTTGTGACTTTAAAAGGGGGGGAGGGCTTTAAAACTGGAAGTGAAACTTGGCAAACAATTCTACTCAAAAGGCCTCTAAGATGCCCATCAGGGTGGAAAGCTTAGGCAGGTTTTAAAAATATGCCAGCTGCTGGGCGATTCGAGCCATCATCATCTGTAAAAGTCACTTCCTATAGGTCTGTTGAAAAGCGATAAGAAAGAAAAAAGCTGTTTTTAACCATCTTTCTCAGAGCGGTTCAGATTGAACTCTGGGGCGCCCTTCCCTCGCTGCGCGATGCTTAGTGGGTGGAAAGCCAACCATGTTGCTTTTAACGTATTCTTTCCAAAATCGGTGGCTGCTGAGTTCTTTCTTGTCTTGGTCCAAAGAACGGCTTCTGCTTTCCACATGGAGATTTATTTCTTCTTTCCGCTTCTTTCCTCTGCTTTCCTCCTTTCAAACGCAGCCCCGGTCCTTTGGCCATAAAAGCCAAACCAAGCCTTTAGCTGAGAGGGCTTTCTGGGGCTGGTTCTGGCTCTCGAGAGACAAAGTCACCCTTCCCGGCATGCTCGGCCCCCGAGTGTCTTCCCTCCTTATAATCCAGAGGGCGAGAAGCCTGCCGCGGGGAAGATTAACGGAATCAAAGGTGGTGGAAAACAACAAGGGCCGTGAAATCCTTCCTTAAGCTGCCAGCTGAGTCGTGACCCTCATTTCTCTGTCCAGACCCGTGGCCATTGGGATCCGTGGACAGAGGTCCGCTCTTCGGCCTTTCCCCTCCCACGCCTCGTTCCGCAAAATCATCGGGAAATGAACTTTGGGTCAGACCACGGGGGGAGGGCGTTTGGGAATTGTTCTCCTGGACACAATCGGGGCCTTGTTTTTGCTCAAAGGGGGCGAAACCGAAGGGTGGGAACGCCAGCAACTTTATAATCTAATCTCGGACTCCCGGAGAGTGATGGCTCCTCCAGGAGTGCCACATTATGCCCAGAACTCAAACCCAGCTCCAACGAGAAGTCTCCAAGGGATGCCCCACGCTCGAGGGTGGCGGTGTAGCAGACTTTGCTCCCGCCAGGAACGTAGGCTTTTCTTGCACCTTCATTCTCCTTAAGCCTTGGCGCTTATCTCAATTTTAAAGTCCTCTTGCAGCTGGAGGAAAGATTACATAATTTGCTTAAAGCTGCCGGCTAAATCTTGTCTTCCCGTCACCGTTCCACGCTCTCGCTTCTTTCCTCTTGCTTATCCTTGGCAACTGTTTGTCTAGACCTGGATTCCACCCGTTTTTTTTGGAGAGGGAGACGGATTTCCTGTTGACCTTTGCCAGTCGTGGTCTATTTGGAAGACTTGTTTTGGAAAAAAACTGGACGTTTACATGTTGTCCCTGCGTGGAAAGTGTTTTAAAAACACTCCTCGCCAGGGGTCACGCTTGCTCCACGCACTGACTTGGTCTCCTTTTAAAGGCGTCTCAGCGGGCAGACTTCCTTCCTCCATCTTGTGGCAGGGAGTTCCGCAGTTTCACCCTTCACTGTGGGAAGGCAGTTTTCTGTTCTTCTGCCAGGCGATTCATGTGCATGTACTGCAGAAATCTGAGTCTTCCCTTTGGGAGGAGCAGGTGAAAATGCTGTGTCTCTATCCATGACTATCTTACACTTGCACAAAACCACCCAGGATGGGTTATGCTGAAAGACAGGCACTTATCTTTCTGATCTTGCATGGGCAGCGCCATTTGATTGGCACCAGCCAGTCCTACAGAGTAAGCATCATTCAGCCGCTGACGGCTGGGTCTGCCAAATCATATTTACTGGTTTGCAATTTGGGCTCTCATCCCCTCCAGCAATCTCCTTTCGCCACCCCCTTTGCATTTCCTGAGACCCTCAAAGTGCAAAACTATCTGCACCACATCAACCCAGTGCCCCAACGGACCTCTCGAGGTCTCCGTTATCTCAAGGTCTCTGATATTTTTAGTGCCTTATCAGCACCTCGCCTGCTTTATCAATGCTGTGTGGGAAACGGCGTCCCGTGACTATTCAATGCGCTGTGCGCCTGCCCACGAAATCGCAGAGCCCATACGGTCCCAGATCTGTTTCCGTGCCCTTCGACGGCTCACGGATCCAGACCTCCTCCAAGCCACACTCTGACTCATGCCAAGGAAGGAATTGTCACCCAGACCTCCCCAGTGCACCCATGTTGGTGCGCGTGGGGAGCAGTCTGGCTTGGCACTTGCAGGTCCTCTGGAGATGTCAGACAGAGCTTTGCTCTCTCCTCTCCAGCACAAGTGAGAAAAAATGTCAACGCGATCCAGCGTCTCTTGGTGTAAGAAGCCACACAGAAAGCAGAAATTTGAAACCATTGATGTGAGCAGTCAGAAAAGAAGAAAAACAGGAAATCTCATATTATCTAGACTTTTACCTACTCCCCACTGGTCTTCCCTCCTGCCCCGGACTGCTAACTGTATATCAGACCCCAATTCGCCACATGGAAGATACTCGGCAGTTCATATCCCTCCCACCCTTGTACCAAAAAAACGAGAGAGCTTCTGCTTTAAACCTGCTTCTGGTTGCATCAGTGTCGTGTCTGTCTGTTTCCAGTTCGGATTTGGGTTGTTGGTCCCTTCTGTACAGGAATGTCCCGCGATGCTCACTAGCAGCATTGACGCAGCCCCTGGTGGATTTCTGCCTGCTCCTCTTCCATGGTGGAGTTTGGAGGCCCTGCAGCCAGTGGCGAAGCAGCTTTCCACCCTGGGACCTGTCTGGGCACTGACCGAAAGAGAGACAAGAATCAGCTGCTCTTCGGCCCTGGAGTCCAAAGTTGAGAAGCTGAGGAGGTATCTGATCCTTCAGGGAGTTAATTAATGTCTGAAGCCACTGGGAGAAAAGGGCAGATCAGGTGGCTGCAGAAAACCAACCGGCAGAAAATCTTGAGTTAATGAGTTTCTGGTCTTGTCTTGCCTTCAGATGTGTTCAGAGAGGGTCACTTGGACCCCGGTGGGGGACATTTGCCATATGATACAAGACCGATGTGATGCTGAACTTGAGTATGGTGGGGGAATTCTCTTGATGAAGACCTCTGTGCCACTGGGAAGCTTGCACAGTTTTCGCATTTGCAGCCGATCCGAATAAAAGCATCGGCCACAAGAACAGCAACGTGTCGTCGTAAAGAGTCAAGCTTGGAAGGAGATGGCTCCATTTAGGGATTTCAGCTCAGGAAGGCCACCACTTTGAGAGGAAGTGGGAAAGGGGGTCGAAAAAATTAACTTTTTTGCAGGTACTAATCGGGGGCTGGAGTCTTTAGCTGGCCTGGCCTTGCTTGCTGGAAGTTTGGGTGAATTCCCGGCATTGGTCATTAGAGGGCAGCTCAGCCTTCACTGGAAAAAATATACTGTATGTTGCAGCCAAGATTTTGAGATCAGCTGGGGGGGGGGATGTGGAATAGAAGGTTTTTTTGTTGTTTGATTGGCACTCCACATCCCAAAACCTATATTCCTTTAAAAAAAATGGGGGGGGGGGAAGAGAGAAAAGAGGTTAGGACTAGTAATAGGATTCTGGTCATAGAAAGTTCTGAGAACCGTTGAAAACATGATTTTGAAGGGCACCGAAGAATAAATTGGAGAAGCCTGTTCTAGATCCAGATGGATCCATTTTGGAGTTCTTAGTCTTTAACATTGTTTGTTTTTATTTTGTAAAACTGCCTTGGGTGTTCTGGAGGAGAAGGGCAGGGTGTAAATATAATAAACAAACAAAACAAACAAACTAGATGCACTTCTGTATATTTGAATGTACACTATAGACATACATATGAATGGATCTGTTTTTATTTCTATGTATGCATAGCTATACTTTTCTCTAAGTATTCATGTACCTGCATAGTGGATATCCGACCTACATTTACTTTTGTATATACAACATTTATATTTATATAAATGTATTGCAAATATGTATGCATTGCAAATTTATAGATCAGCTATATCTATATGTATCTATATCTGTATTTATTTATTTATTGTCATTGTAAGTATATACACAGTATACCCATACAATGAAATTCACAGACACCCAGAGACCAGACACATGCGCACACATAAGATTCCCCAAACACTCCCCACCCACTAAAAAATACCCTAACACTCCCCACCCACTAAAAGTCCCCACTAAAAATACAAACATCTACACCGCAGACCAAGTAACACAGGCCAACTAACCATTCACTACTGGTGGTCTTTAAGCTCATTATTAAGTGCAATTATAGCTCGGGGATAAAAACTATTGAGAAAACGTGTGGTCCGAGTCTTAATTGTTCTATATCTTCTGCCAGACGGCAACAGTTCAAAAAAGTTATAAGCAGGATGGGAAGAGTCTCTCAGGATGCTGTGTGACTTCTTCAGACAGCGGGATGTGAAGATGTCATCCAGGGTTGGTAGCTGGAGCCCAATGATATTCTGGACAATTTTAATGGTTCTCTGTAGAGCTTTTTTGTCTGCTACAGAGCTACTCCCAAACCATGTCAGAATGCCATAGGTTAGGACACTCTCAATGGTGCTACGATAGTATGACAGAAGTAAATGCTGAGATAAATTTAACTTGCCGAGCATCCTCAGGAAATACAGCCTCTTCTGTGCCTTCTTCATTAGCATGTTGGCATTTATAGTCCATGAGAGGTCCTCTGAGATGTAAGTGCCCAGAAATTTATATATCTGTGTACAGTGGACCCTTGACTTACAGACGGCTTGACTTACAGACTTTTTGAGTTACAGACTTCTCTGGCCGCAAAATTTAGGTTTGACTTGCAGACTGAGATTTGACTTACAGACCAGAAAAAAACCAAAATGGAACAAAAACGGCCTGTTACGGGATTAATCGGTTTTCAATGCACTGTAGGTCAATGGAGACTTGACTTACAGACTTTTTGACTCGAGAACCGCCTTCCAATACGGATTAAGTTCTCAAGTCAATACCCCACTGTATATCTATGTATGTGAAAGCCAATGCTTAGAACTGTTATCTCCGTTTGCAGACTCGTGGAAATTTATTTATTTATTTATTTTACTGTTTATCTAGTCATTTATCTGTGTCTTCCACGTCAAATATTCCGCCTAGACTTCCGGTCAAGATGGCGTCCGCCTATTAATAGCCGGGTTTTGTCTCTTCCTTTCCGCTCCTGGTATAAAATAATTTTGAAAGCCCTGGCAGGAGAGGGAGAAAGAAATCAAAGCTATTATCTGCCCGCTTGCTTTAAAATTGTCTCTTAAGTGGGGTGGCGGGGAAAAAGGAAGGATGAGAACCAAAAGCGGCGGCATCGGTTTTCGAGGGAGTGTTTACAGCGGGCCCCAGGCGATTGCCAGGCAACGCTAGAACGCCTAGTAAGAGACAGGTCGGGGAAGCAGAGGATTGGCGGTGGCGGCGGCGCGCCTTTTAAGACGTCATCGCGGCGTGCCCAGTTGCCTGGTGACGACAAAGCAATTTGCTTCGGCCGTCAAGGCGGGACGAGGAAGAAGGGGATTGGCCGTGGTGTCGTCGGGGCGGGGCGTCATCAACGGGCGCTGCTCTTGTAGCCGGTTGCTTGGCAACGTGGCCGGGATTGCGGCCTAGTCTGGAAGCTGACCGGGGAATGGGATGGGAAAAGAAGGCCGCAGGCTGGCGGGGAAACCGTGTTGGGCCCGCAGGAGGAGGACGAGGAGAGAGCGGGCTGCCCACCTTCCATTTGGGACCCCTTGGGCTGCCGTAGGGCCTGTGGATAAAGTACTACCGTTTCCCTTATAGAGGGGCGAGGAAGGAAAGCTCTTAAGATTGCAAAAGGAGGTGTTTGGTCTTTTTTGTTTGTTTGTTTTGTTGAAGTAACTTTTTTTGGAGAAGAAATGGCTGCAGCGTGCCAAAACCATAGAAGCGGCTACATGGCAATAGCAATATTTTCTATATAGATGTGGCATACCTACACTCACACAATTAGTTTATTTAAAAATTAATATATATATATATATTTACAATATTTACTTCATTTATCTTAAAATTGCAAATCGAGAAGGGAAGAGGATAACACTGTGTTTTTCCTCCGGCTGTTTTAAGCAGAGGGTTAAAATTCCCCCCCCCCTCAAAATAAAATTTCTTTTGCAGTGTTTAGCAAAATGAAAGGGCAAAAGAATTGGGAGATTTTTTAAAAATGGCAAGTTTCCGCCTTTGAAAAGTGATTCTAGGTCCAAATCCTCCAGATATAAAGAGAACTGAGTGTCTTTTGTTTTGTTTTTTAAAAAAGAAACATTTCTGGAGGAAAAAAATAAGGTGAAAGGTCTTGCTCATGTTCTTATAGCAGGAGCTGGGATAACAACAACAACAACAATAATAATAATAATTTATTTATTGTCATTGTAAGTATATACACATACAACGAAATTCACAGACACCCAGAGACCAGACACAAAGAAGATATAATTGTGAGATGAGATTCTGGGGAAAAAACCAGTGGCTTTCTGGAACGCCCAGATTCCTTTCTGGTTTCCTGGAAATTTGCTTTTCACTTTCTATAAGGCCCATAAGGCAGGTGGAAATCCATTGTGGACCTTTTTGCACCAGGTGGCAAATGTCCTTTAGATTTTCCTGTTTGTGAGAATAGAGAAAGGAAACGTGGTTATACAGTAAACAACACGCTTCTGCTTTGCTTTTTGTTTCAAGGGACAAAGTTTATAGCTATCTGGCAAAGAAAACAAGTTCATCCCATTAACACCAGCTTCTTATGAGATGCGGCAAATAGGGTTCATTTTCCAAATAGCCACATCCCTAAAGTCTTGTTCTTCTGGGCCTGCTTCTATTCTTAAACGAAGAGAAGGATTTCTATGTTTTGGTCTTTTTTTTTTTTTTTTAACATTTTGCTTGCAGGGAAAACTTTCAAGCCAAGGCTGACCTTGTGGTATTCCACCAAGGCTTCCTCTTGTTGGGGCCATAGGGTTTCATGAACGTGGTATCAGGAAGCTTTGCCAACCCCAAGGAAATTGGAGATTATTTGGAGCTGGCACTCCAGGTAGCCGGGGAACGGGAGCCTGGCTAAACTTGTCCGGTTTTGTAAGGCATGATGGGTGCAGGAATCGGAGATGAAGCGGGGGAAAGGGAAGGAGTTATGCGGATGCAGATAACAGAACACATTGCAGAATGCAAAATGAGATGTCCAGGAGGATGAAGAAACAGGCAAAAACAGAGCAAAACGTTCAGAAGAGATAGTAAAAGGATTTACACTAAGAGACCAGGCAGCTTTTGATATGAGGACGTCTTACAAAAGACACAGTTCTGGGTTGCAGGGTGCCCGGTTCTCAAAGCCGTGCGCCTTATTTATGCTTGATTTTTTGTGGGGAAATCAGTCTTATATTTGTCTGGATTTCCCCTAAAACTGTTGAAAGTAAGTTTGTTGGTTTTTTTAAAGGAGTGCATTTCTCAGATGTGCAGGCCCTGCCCTATGGAGAGCGGCAGTCTTGATTTGAGGTTCGGAGGAGGTTCCCTTTCGCTTGCAGCCGCATCCAGGGACTCTGAATTGGAGATGACCACGCGGCTTCAGGCGTTGCACGTAGGTGGAAGGCAGGCAGGTCCGAATCGTGCCAAAGAACCAGGGATGGAGGAAGAAAACATAAGCTTAGCGAAGCAAAAATGCTTTTCTTTTTCCCCCCACCATACCTCCAGCTCTTGCAGAACTGTAGGCCTGTGTTTCAATTCCCGGGGGCTATGAGTCATGTTTTCCCCCTTTCCTCCTCATCCTCTTATTTCCTGATTTAAGGGAGGGGGTCCCTCTTTTCCCTCCACTGGAGGGAGATGGGAGGAACTCTCCCCC